GAAGCAACGTTAAATAAATACACCGCCGCCCATCACATTTCTTCCAGTATTATCGCATTCTGAAGAAGGTATTGGAGAATAGTATCCAACAGGAAAACATAAATTGTGGTGTTGTGCTGACTGACTGCTCTCTGCTCCTATTGGCTGTTATTTGGTGGGTTAAAAGAATAGTCCACCAATCACAGTTAAGCAAGGGACAGCTGGAAGTATGTACTATATAGGACACGGACAAGCGTGCTATAGGGCCCCTGGGGACCCTTGGTACGGTCCCTGGGGTCGGCATCGCCCCTGGGAGATCCACTGTCCCTGGCATGGCCCTTGGGGAAACCACTGCCCCTGAGAGGTCCCTGGGAGCGTCGCTGTCCATAGGAGAGCTTCTGGGAGCGCCACTGTCCCTGGCAGTGCCACTGAGAGTATCGCTGGCCCTAGGAGGGCCCCCGTGAGTGCCGCTGTCCCTGAGAGAGCCCCTGGGGGCGACGGCGCCCCTGGCAGGGCCCCTGCCTACGCCAGTACCTCTAGCAGTGCCCCTGGGGGCGCCAACGCCTCTGGCAGGGCCCATGGAGGCGCTGCCATCCCTGGGAGGGCCCCTGAGAGTGCTCCAGTCCCTGGAAGGGCCTCTGGTTGCAGTAGTTTTTGCGCTATTTAGAGCTCTGGGAGAAGCAACATTAAATAAATACACCGCCGCCCATCACATTTCTTCCAGTATTATCGCATCCTGAAGAAGGTAATGGAGAAGAATATCCAACAGGAAAACATAAGTTGTGGTGTTGTGCTGACTGACTGCTCTCTGCTCCTATTGGCTGTTATTTGGTGGGTTAAAAGAATAGTCCACCAATCACAGTTAAGTAAGGGACTGTTGGAAATATTTAAAATATATGACATGACAGACAAGCATGCCATAGGGCCCCTGGGGACCTTTCGAACTGTCCCTGGGGTCAACGCAACCCCTGGAAGCTCCGCTGTCCCTGGCATGGCCCCTGAGGGCGCTGCCGTCCCTGGGAGGGCTCCTAGGGCGCTGCTGTCACTGGGAGAGACCCTGGGGGCGCTGCCGTTCCTTGGGGGGCCCCTGGGGGCGACATTGTCCCAGGGAGAGTCCCTTGGGGGCGCCAGTGCCCCTAAAAGCGCCACCGTCCCTTGCAGGGCCTTTGGAGGCGCCGACGTCCCTGGGAATGCCTCTGTGGCGCCGCTGTTCCTGGGGGCGCCACTGTCCCTGGGAGGACCCCTGAGAGTGCTCCCTTTCCTGGAAAGGTCTCTGGTTGCAGTAGTTTTTCCGCTATTTAGAGCTCTGGGAGAAGCAACATTGAATAAATACACCGCCGCCCATCACATTTCTTCCAGTATTATCGCATCCTGAAGAAGGTAATGGAGAAGAATATCCAACAGGAAAACATAAGTTGTGGTGTTGTGCTGACTGACTGCTCTCTGCTCCCTATTGGCTGTTATTTAGGTGGGTTAAAAAGAATAGTCCACCAATCACAGTTAAAATAAGGAGACTGTTGGAAATATTTAACCTTATGACATGACAGTTCAGCATGCTGCAGGGGCCCTGGGGACCTTACAGAACCTTGGTCCCTGGGGTCAACCTGCAACCCCTGGGCTCCTTCTCCTCGCGCCTCCTTGGGGCACTGCCTGCCGTCCCTGGGAGGGCTCCCGAGGCGCTGTCACTGGGAGGAGACCTGGGGGCGCCGCCATCCCTGGGAGGGGCTCTGAGGCGCTACTTTGTCACTGGGAAGAACCTGTGGGCGCCACTTGCGTCCCTGGGAGGCCCCTGAGAGCACCAAATTTCCTGGGAGAGCCCTAGGGGTCCTTGGGGGTGCTGCCGTTCCTGGGAGGACCCGTGGGAGCGCCAGACCTGTAGGGCCCCTGGGAGCAGTAGTTTTTGCGCGATTCAGAACTTTGGGAGTGGCAACGTTAAATAAATACACTGCCCATCACATTTGCAGTATCATCGCATTCTGAAGAAGGTAACGGAAAATACTGTAATATCCAACAGAAAAACATAAGTTGTGGTGTTGTGTTGACTGACTGCTCTCTTCTCCTATTGGCTGTAATTTGGTGGGTTAAAGACAGTCCGCAATCACAGCTAAGCAAGGGGCTGGAGTATGGCCACTTATATATAGGACACGGACTGGCGTGCTATAGAGACCCTGGGGACCCTGGTACAGTCCTGGGGTCGTATATCTTGGGAGCTTCACTGTCCCTAGCATGGCCCTTGGGGAAACCACTGCCCTGAGGGTCTGGGAGCGTCGCTGTCCAGCAGGGAGAGCTTCTGGGAAGCCACTGTCCCTAGCAGTGCCACTGAGAGTATATTGGCCTAGGAGGGCCCCCACGTGAGAATGCCCGCTGTCCTGAGAGAGCCCTGGGAACTGACGGCACCCTATTGAGACCCTGCTACCTTGATGCCTCTAGCAGGTGCCCCTGGGGCTGCCAACACCTCTGGCAGGGAGCCCATGGAGGCGCTGCCATCCCTGGAGGGTCCTAAAAGAGTGCTCCCTTTCCTGGAAAGGTCTCTGGTTGCAGTAGTTTTTCCGCTATTTAGAGCTCTGGGAGAAGCAACATTGAATAAATACACCGCCGCCCATCACATTTCTTCCAGTATTATGGCATCGTGAAGAAGGTATTGGAGAATAGTATCCAACAGGAAAACATAAGTTGTGGTGTTGTGCTGACTGACTGCTCTCTGCTCCTATTGGCTGTTATTTGGTGGGTTAAAAGAATAGTCCACCAATCACAGTTAAGTAAGGGACTGTTGGAAATATTTAATATATATGACATGACAGACAAGCATGCCATAGGGCCCCTGGGGACCTTTCGAACTGTCCCTGGGGTCAACGCAACCCCTGGAAGCTCCGCTGTCCCTGGCATGTCCCCTGAGGGCGCTGCCGTCCCTGGGAGGGCTCCTAGGGCGCTGCTGTCACTGGGAGAGACTCTGGGGGCGCCGCCGTCCCTGGGAGGGCTCCTAGGGCGCTGCTGTCACTGGGAGAGAACCTGCTGGCGCCGCAGTCCCTGGGAGGGCCCCTGAGAGCACCAAATTTCCTGGGAGAGCCCCTAGGGGTGCCACCGTCCCTGGCACGGCATCTGGAAGTGCTCCCGTACCTGGGAGGGCACCTGGTTGCAGTAGTTTTTGCGCTATTTAGAGCTCTTGGAGAAGCAACGTTAAATAAATACACCGCCGCCCATCACATTTCTTCCAGTATTATCGCATCCTGAAGAAGGTATTGGAGAATAGTATCCAACAGGAAAACATAAGTTGTGGTGTTGTGCTGACTGACTGCTCTCTGCTCCTATTGGCTGTTATTTTGTGGGTTAAATGAATAGTCCACCAATCACAGTTAAGCAAGGGACAGCTGGAAGTATGTACTATATATGAAACAACGGACAAGCGTGCTATAGGGCCCCTGGTTACCCTTGGTACGGTCCCTGGGGTTCCGCATCGCCCCTGGGAGCTCCACTGTCCCTGGCATGGCCCTTGGGGAAACCACTGCCTCTGAGAGGTCCCTGGGAGCGTTGCTGTCCATAGGAGAGCTTCTGGGAGTGCCACCGTCCCTGGCAGTGCCACTGGGAGGATCGGTGGCCTTGGGAGGGCCCCCGTGAGCGCTTGTCCCTGAGAGAGCCCCTGGGGACGACGGCGCCCCTGGCAGGGCCTCTGCCTACTCCAGCACCTCTATTAGTGCCCCTGGGGGCGCCAACGCCACTGGCAGGGCCCATGGAGGTGCTGCCCTCCCTGGGACGGCCTCTGGGGGCTCCACCACCCCTGCCATGGCCCTTGGGGGCGCCATCCCTCCAGCCAGGCCCCCTGGGAGCGCCGCCATCCATGGGGTCGGCGCCACCACTGGGAGGGTCCCTGGGAGCTACCTGGGGATGCCATTGCCCCTGCGAGGGCCCCTGGGAGCGAGCACTGTCCCTAGGACAGTCTCTGGGAGCACCGCTATCCATGTCAGTGCCCTTGGGAGGATCGCTGTCCCTGGGAGGGGCCCCGTGAGTGCTGATGTCCCTGAGAGAGCCCCTGGTAGGGCCCCTGGGGGAGCCAGCACCCCTAGGGTTGCCAACACCTCTGGCCGAGCCCATGGAGGCACTGCCGTCCCTGGGAGGGCCCCCTTGGAGTGTCGCTGCCCCTTGGATAGCCCCTGGGGATGCCACCGCCACTGGTAGGGCCCCTGGAGGAGCCACCTCCTTTGACAGGTCCCCTGTGGGCACCGCCAACCTTGGGAGTGCCACCGCCCCTATCAAGGCCCCTGGTGGTGCCACCATTTCTGGAAGGGCCTCTGAGGGCGCTGCCATCCCTGGGAAGGCCCTGAGGGCACTACCACCTATGGCAAGGCCTTTAGGGGCGCTACCGCCCTTTGCAGAGCCCTTGAGGGCACCGTCGACCCTTGGAGGGCTCTTAGGGCGTCGCTGTCACTGGGAGAGACCCTGGGGGCACCGACGTTCCTGGGAGGGCCTGTGGGAACGCCCTGGCAGGGCCCCTGCGGGCGTTCCCGTCCATGGGAGGACCCCTGAGAGCGCCAATTTTTCTGGGAGAGCCCCTAGGGGTGCCATCGCCCCTGGGACGGCATCTGGAAGCACTCCCGTACCTGGGAGGGCCCTGGTTGCAGTAGTTTTAACGCTATTTAGAGCTCTGAGAGCCCCCCTGGCAGGACCCTTAGGTTTTTTTTTTAGAAAAGGAGGGTGAAAAAGAAGATTAAGTTGGGTGGATGGAAGTTATAGTTCGGAAATTGAAGAAATTTAGGAGGAAATAAGAGAAGCCCGCCTAGCTAAGCTAATAGTGTGTTAGGGTTGTGTTATGGGTTAGTTATTGTCTGTCGGTACAGGCGCCAACGCTTCTGGCAGGGCCCATGAAGGCGCTGCCATGCATGGGAGCGCCGCTGTCCCCGGTAGATCCCCTGGGGGCGTCACCGCCCCTGGCAGGGACCCCAGGGTGCCGCCATCCCTTGGAGAGCCCCTGAGGGTGCTGCCATCCCTGGAAGAGCCTTTGGGAGCGCCACTGCCCCTGGGGGTGCCGCCGTTTCTGGGAGGGTCCCCGAGGGCGCTAATGCTCCTGGCAAGGACCCTAAGGGCACCACCGCCTCTGGCAAGGCCCCTCAGGCACCAACGCCCCTTGGTGGTGTGGGTATTGAGGGAGTGGAGGCGGGGGTGGGTTATGGAGGGCATGGGGTAGGGGTGTGGGTATGGAGGGCATGGGGTAGGGGTGTGGGTATGGAGGGCATGGGGTTAGGGTGTGTGGATTATGAAGGCAGGGATGGTGTGCTGGAGTGTTGAGGCGTGGATCAGGGTGTGGGTGTGAGGGCCTGGAGGAGGGGTGTGGGTTATGGAAGGTGTAGAGGCGGGGTATGGGTATGGAGGGCATGGAGGAGGAGTGAGAGTTATGGAAGGCGTGGAGAGGTGTAGGTTATGGAGTGCAAGGAGTAATGTGGATTATGG